ACCAGGATGGAGAGAGCTGCTGTGCTGCCAGGGTGGAAGAAAGGCTGAAGAGCACCTGGCTGGGAGCTGCTCAGAGTGGGCAGTGACCCCAGAGCTTGTCTGCTCAGCCCTGGGGTTTAGTGACCTCCTCCCATGGGGCAGGAGGGAGGGAGACTGAACAGAGCAGCCTCCCAGGACCAGTCATGGGCAGGACTGCAGGGCTGGCAAAGCCTGGGAGCCCCAAGGCAGTGCTGGGTACTGACCCCCCGCTCAGAGGAGCTTATCTGGGCAAAGGCTGGCACAGGGGGTGAGCACAGGGAATGGGAAGAGCCCGGCACAGCACATACCCGAGGCCTCTGGGGCCCTGCAACACACACAGTTCTCTGCCCACCTTGTTTATTTTACTTATATTTCAGTAATTTGCTGATTACCATTTTTTAACTAACCAGCAGTGATGAATCAGCAGCACGGGAGAGGGTGGAAGCCAGTGGCCTTGGACCGTGGCTCCGAGGTCTCAGGGTCTGGGAAGGAAGCCACAGGTTCCCTCCAGAAGGGGAAAAAAAACATCCAGCAGCAGGAGCAGCAGTTCTGGCAGGCACGGGGGAGTCAGCTGTTTGCATTCAGCGGCTCCAAACGCATCCTGGAAAGGCTGCTGATGGTCCCAAAGCCTTGCGGGAATGGCAGCCATGGCTCCGACACGGGAGCAAGACAAGACACACGGGAGAGGAAGCGCATGGCTTGGCACAGGCATCGCTCTGGCAGTGGGCAGGGGTGCAGGAGGCTGTGGGACAGACAGGACACACAGGGAGAGTCACTCTGTGCCCAGGGCACAGCCACCAGCAGCACCTTCTAGGCTGGCAGGCAGAGCCAGGGCCAGCAAGCTGCCTCGTGCCGAGAGGACCGTGTGAGGATGTAAGGGGCCTCACCACAGGCTTCCATGGGCTCTTCCAGCCTCTCAGGAGCTCCTGGGAGTGGCTCCTGCCTCTCCCAGAAGTGCCCTGCTCGAGCCCAAGGGTGGCATTATGGCTGAGGCCATGGCTTCAGCCACAGCCTTGGTGGCCATGGAACACAGGCGTTATCCTATGGCACTCCCACCCACTCCAGGGCTCTGGGAAGTGGGGATCCCAACAGGAACAGACAGCACCAGAGGGATGCTGCTCCTTGTGTAAGTACCAGTGGCCCAGCAAGCCCTGGTGCAGGGCAGAGGGGCCAGAGAGGTGCCTGGTGGGAAGCTATCCCAGCTCACTGCAACCCCAGCATGGAGAGATCCCCCAGGAGAACCCCAGGAGCCTTCTCCATGATCCAGCACTGCTGGGAAGGCACAGAGCGGTGAGGCAATCTGGTGTGAAGAAAAACCATTTCCTGCAGCAAGGGCTGCTTTGCTCAACGTTTTACAAAATGTGCTGATGCAACCGCCCTTCCCAGGTGGGATATAAATACAAGCCTTGATGTGGATTCGTGCCCTGCAGCTACATAAACATCGCAGCAATGTTTTCTTGGAAAAGAAAAAAAGGAAACAAGAAGGAACAAACAAGCAGGGATGACAAAATCACCGGCGGTGGAAGTCGGGGGTTCGGGTTGCAGGGGTGGGGGGAGAGGCTGAGGCTCTGCCCCGGGCACCGTGCTCAGCACAAACTCCTATTCTGGGGTGGTGACCGAGGCCACGAGCTCACGGAAGAGCTGTGGTGGGTCAGCAAACTGTGCTGGGGAGGGGCAGCCTGGAGCAGGGCGAGAACGGGACCCCAACCAGGGTCACCCATTGGCATGCTCTCACTCTGCCTGAGTGGCAGGTTGCCTGGCTGTATCTCCTCCCCAGTGCCACATCCAGGCTGGAGAGAACGGAGCTGTGAGCTGTGACACCTCCCCAGGGCCTGGGACTGCCTGTCAGTGCAGCCCATCTCCCAGCTCACTAAAACCAGCTTCATAACATACCCCACCCGAGCCTGAGCACTTTGTCCTCCAGGCACAAGCACTGTGTTGTCTCCTCAGCCCATTCCCAAAAGGCCCTTTAACCTGCTGCTCCCCCCACTAAGGTATTTGGATGCACATCCAACGCGTGTTTTTGGATTCTCTTAAGCCTCTTGCTGAGATCTCTTTTGTGTTTTCTTTGGCTCTGAAGTGGTTTCAGGCTCGGAGCTGCAACAGCAGAGCATTATCAGTGAGGAGCTGTGCCTCCAAAGCCGAGCTGCGCTCTGCCTGCCCTGGAAATCCCCCGCTCACCCGGCTCAGGGGCACACGGCGTTTTTAAAAATAGCAGGTTACCCATCACAGCAAAGCTCTGCTGGGACAATGCTCCGAGACAGAGGACATGGGGCACCTCTGAAGGGCAACAGGGAAGCTTGATGCAGCTTTTCATGGGCCAAGCCAGCACTGTGAGGGCCTGTATGAACCCCTGAGGCCCCAGGAGCTCAGGCTGCTTTGCCCTGGAGCCACAACCCATTGGGAAAATCCTTCACTTGTCTCACACAGCAGCTGACTGAAGGCAGAAAGAGGGAAATCAGCTGGTCTGACACAAATCCATCCCGTTCCCTCTACCTGGGAGGCAGTTTTTGCCAGAGGTTCCTCCAACACCACTCCCCCTCCCCGACAGACAGAGAAAGCTTCCTCTGACAGGGAGCAAAAGGGACACCCCCAGCCCAGACAGAGCCAGGCCATGGTTGGTCACAGGCACTGCCGAGCTCTGCCAGTGTGAGTCCTCCCCAGCTCCGCTTCTCCCACAGAGCTGCTTTAAAGAGCAGTAATGGAGAAAAAAAAAACAAACCAACCCCTCAGCTGTCTCTCAGGCTTCTGGCGTGTTGGTGACGGCAGCAGCACGCGGGGACTCGGCCCCAAGGCAGCGGGAGCAGCGCTGCAGCAGCAGCAGCACTCACACGGCCAGCCCGGGGACAGTGCTCACCGCTGCTGTCTGCGGTGATGGATGAGGGCATAAACCTTTCAAGGATGCATTTAATTAGCTTGAAAAAGAGCCGGGAGGTGCTTGCACGGCAGCTGGCGGAGCAGCTCCTCTGCCGGACACACGGTGCCTCTGGGGCAGAACACGAGGGACCCGCAGAACACCCACAGAGGAGCCCCGGCCTTGGGGGGGCTCGACCCAGGGGCACTGCCTGTGCCACCCAGGAGCAGAGCACCACGGCCAAACGCTGCAGAGCACTGACCCAGTGCTGATCCAGTGCTGATCTAGAGGGCTGATCCAGCCCCACACCCCCCGGCTCGGATTTCTGGCAGGCGACGTGTGCGCTCACAGACTGCGCCAGATGAGACACCGTCTGTCCTCCTGCAGCTGGCACCACCTCAGCACCGGCCGTCCTGGCCAGCGACAAGGTGGCACTGCCCATCCCGACCTGTGCTGCAGGCTGGCTCCATCCAGGCGGCTCCAGACAGCCTGTGTCCTTTCCATGGGGACCCAGCAGCCAGGCTCAGGCCCAGCAGGCAGGCTCAGCTCAGCAGCCAGGCTCAGGCCCAGCAGCCAGGCTCAGGCCTAGCAGCCAGGCTCAGCTCAGCAGTCAGGCTCAGCCCAGCAGAGCTTAGGCACAAAACAGTTGCCTTTCCTCCAGAAAAAAAAAATCGGGATAGAGCCATTCTCAGTAGAGCACTGCAACATGAGAAACATTAAACACCAGCATTCGGTAAAAACATCAGCACAGAGCAGGGCTTCATCCAGGCCATGCACAGCTGAGCTCAGCTGGAGGATCTGGCACAGCACCGCGCTCAGCTCTGAGCACATCCCTGCGGGAATGCTGCGGCATCAGGAGGTGCCCCAGGGCAGCCTAGAGCATGTGCCCCCCCAATACGGGCAGACGGCAGAGCAACGGGGTGTCCTTTGCCACCTAGGCAGGGGGGAACCGCCGCGGGGAGAGGAATGAGGTGAGCGAGAGCCCAGCGGAGGGCCGCCGAGGCTGAACACGGTGAGGTCCCCGGCCAGGGTCGCCCCGGGGATGGGCGGCGCCCGCCCATGAGGCGCGCCAGTCTCGAGCCCACCGCGGGCTACGGGACGGGAACCGGAGCGGCAGGGCTGCACGGCCCGCCCGGGATGCAGGCTGTGGCGGGGCCGGCCGGTACCGCAGAGCCCCTGCCGGGGACCCGAGCCGGGCGGGAGCGGAGCGGGCGGACCGAGCCCCGGCCCCGCCACTTCCGCCTCCCCGTCACGTGACCAGCGCAACCCGGCGCGACGCCGACGCTCAGGGCCCGGGCGCCGCTTCCTGACGCCATGACGCACAGACGCAGCACCGCCGAGAGCCCTCCGCGGGGAAAGTAGTCCCCGGCGGGGCGCCGGGGCCTCCCTCCTCCCGCGGGCAGCGCCGTTCGCCGCCGGGAGGCGGCGGCGGCGGCCGTGGCGAGGAGCGCGCCCAGGCGGCGGCGAGGGCCGCGGGCGGGGCGGGGGCCGGGCAGTGGTAAGTAG